CCGAAGATGCACTTTCAGCTACCAAAATTTTGGTCGCCAAAAATTTAATTCCCGCCTTAGGATTTTAGTTCTCCCACAATAAAAATGACCACTTTTGGCCACTAAACTTATTTTTTAGTCGTCAATTGTAGACTTTTGGCTAATAAAATTTTTTAGTTGCCCAAAAACTTTACTTTGGGCTACTAAAAATTTTTTAGTCACTAAAACTCATATAATCAGCAACCAAACTTAGTTTTAGTCGCCAATTGTAGACTTTTAGCTACTAAAATTGTTTAGTCGCCAAAAAGCTTTACTTTTGGCTACTAATACTGTTTTGGTCGCTGAAAGCTATACTTTCAACAACCAAATTTTTTTTGGTCAGGAAATTTAGTCGCCGAATGTGCTTTTTCCTATAGTGTATATTGAGTTTAATTTATTTATTTTTAATCATTTACTGCATTTTAAAAATTTAGAAAATATATTGACATTTTTTATTTTTTCAAAAATGCCATTATAAGCCTGGAAAGTTTTTGGCTTAGTGGCATTTCTCAAAATGCTATAAAATATTTGTTTATGACACTTTTCACCTAAGTGCCATAAAAAGTAATTTGCAAATACCTAGTGTCCTGACATTTTTTAAAAAATGCCATTGCTACTAAAATTTAGTGGCATTTGTTGGTAAATGTCACGAACATAATTTTTTGTGTAATTATTTTATAAAATGCCATAAAATTGATGTGACATTTCTTTATTGAAATGCCAGTAGAGCCTTATATGTTTGTGGTTCTGTGGCATTTTTCTAAAACATTTAATGCCAATTTTTATTTTTGTGGCATTTTCTAAAAACATGCCACTAGTGTAGTGTCACTAAAGTGTAAATTTGTTGTAGTGACATTTTTGTTGTAGTGAAGTGACACTTTTTTTAATTGAAATGTCACTAGAGCCTTGTATATTTGTGGCTCTATGACATTTTTCTAAAAAATGCCACCAAATATTCTTTTTGTGACATTTTTAAAAACATGTCACTAATATAGTGTCACTAAAATATGTTTTTATTGCAGCGAATCTAAACAATGTCTTAATATTTGTTTTAAATATATAATCTAAACATAGTCTTATATTTGTTTCACGTGCCATTTTTGTTAACATTTTTTTCAATAATTTTAACTTAGGCTTGTTTTGGGAAATAGAAAAAATGTTAACTTATAGGCTTTTTTTTATTTTTTTTATTTTTTTGAAAAAATGTGTAAAAAGATAGAGAAATGATGTAGCTCAAATAAGCTAATAAACCAATAAATTAACTTTTTTCCTACTTCCCAAAATGACCCTTAATCAAATCATAAAAATGCATGAATGGTTGAAAACCTGATTCAGCACTTAAAACTGAATGTATTAAGTGATAATCAATTAAATCCGTTTGATAACCACATTTGATATTACTTAAAAATTTAAGTGCCTCTTAAAATATAAGTTAAAAATTAAGAAAAATCTTAGTCATATGAAACTTATTTAAGCTTGTTTTGGGAAGTAGGAAAGAAGTTAACTTATTGGCTTTTTTTGAAAAAACATGCAAAAAAAAATAAAGAGATGTTGTGACCTAAATAAGCCAATAAGTAGACTTTTTTCCTACTTCACAAAATGCCCTTAATTTTAACTGAATTTATAAATATTAAATATTAAATATAAGTATCTATATATACTATTATAAACTTATTACCACCATCGTCGTTGCTATCACTACCACCACCTTCATCCACTACTACCACCATCATACCACAACTACCACAATTGCTATTGCTATAATCACCACCACTACTATCATCACCTTTATTACTTTTGTCATTGTTGCCATAAATATTACCATCATTTTGTAACCACTACCATCGCTACCGCTATTACCATCACCACTACCAGTACCACTGCCACCACCATCATTACCATCACCATCACTTTCATTTTGCTACTACTACTAGTGCTAACGCTATCACCACTGCTACTGTCGCTACTATTGTCACCACTACCACTACTACTACCATTACAATACAAAAATTAAAATATATAATTTGAAAATAATAAATTTTAAAATTAATTTTATACATGTCAATCAACTTATTTTTATATCAAACATTTTTTTTAATTTAAAATATTTAACTTTAAATTTTTAACACTTATTTTTCAATTTTCAATTTTATAAAACAACACCTAACTTCACATATATAAAACAAATGGTAAATTACACTGACACCCCCTAAGATTTGGGCTTATGACATTTTACTCTCTGACATTTGGAAAATTACATTCCCACCCATGGGGTTAATAATCTCATTTCGCAAACCCCTTTGCTTATATAAAAGATAACAACTTCTGGTAGAAAAATAAAGGAAATTACGTTGAAAAAAAAAATTGTAAAGTAAAGAAAAAGAAAAAAGGATAAATTACACTTTGCACCCATGCACTTTACATCAAATCCCACTTTGGCCCCTACACATCAAATTGTGACACTTAACCTCCTGCACTTTTGGTCAAGTGTCACTTTGGCCTTTCTGTTAGCCTCATTGTTAACAGAGTGAAAAACATGTGAGGATAAATTACACTTTGCACACCTGTACTTTATACAAAATATCACTTTAGTCCCTACACATCAAAATTGTGACACTTAGCTCCCTAAAGAATAATTTATGTTAGTCTCACTATTAACAGAAGGGCTAATGTGACACTTGACCAAAAGTGTAGGGGGTTAAGTGTCACAATTTGATGTATAAGAACTAAAGTGATATTTTGTGCAAAGTGTAGGGGTGAAAAGTGTAATTTACTCAAGGGGAAAAAAAGAAGAAATAAAAACAAAAGTAAGAAAAGAGAAAGTGTATGAATTCAATATTTTTTTTATACCAACGTTAATTCCATCTAAACAATTATAATGATAGTAAAATCAGTGTAATTTTTCAAACATCAAAAAATGATATGTAATAAATCTAAACATCAAGGATGTAAGGGTAATTTATCCTAAAATAAAACTTCATAATAAAAGAGTAATTAACCAAAACATGTCGAAATAAGAGAGTAATTAACCAAAACAAGTCGAAATAAGGCACGTGCACCGACACCAAAAACCTTGACTTAAAAGTGTGAGAAAATAGGCCAGCTTAGCCAAGCCACTCAGTCTCCAGCCCACCTCGTAACAGCGCTAGTTGTCGCGTGGTCCCCACATCCAGCCTGTCCTAACCGAGAACTTCCCCAAAGTCCAAAACGACTTAAAAAGTTCGCGTTGCATCCTTTACCACTCTCCACGTATCCCCATACTTGTTTTAATTAATTATACTTTACACCCTATTTTTACTTGACTTTAGTATTTTAGATATTTCAATTTGCTCCCCTACTTATTGAATATTTATTAATATGATTCGGTTTGTAGTTGCATTATAAAATTTTTCCAAAACAGCAACCTTTATTTTTTGCCCTTTAATCACATTGACAAAAAATTAACAGGTGACAGATCAAATTGAAAATTTTAAAATTTAAGAGCTAAAAGTAAAATTCTAATAATACTTTAGGGTCATGTTTGATTCACAACACTAATAGTGAGGTATTAATAATCCTATCAAATTAGTGTGGTATTAACTATCCCACCCCTACCCCATTACTAATAATCCTATAAATTTGTTGGATTAATTATCCATTGGATTAATAATCCTAAACCAAAATGTCAAAACAAACATAGGATGATTGGACCCACGGATTAATAATCTCAATCCCATGCTTTAATCCTTCCAATCAAACATGCCCTAGGAGTGGTAAGATATTATTATGAAAAATACTAATGAAGCCCTTTGAATTGCATTAATTTAGGTAAATATATAGAAAGTTTATTGAAGTAGTAAAAAAATCATATAAAATTGTAATGAGATTTTAATTTTTTTTGTTATTTTATCTTTAAATGACAGTCCAGTGATGTTATTATTATTTATTTTAATGATATTATCAATGAGTGTCATTAATGGGTAACTATTAAATATTTTTAATAGACAGTTAATTAATAAAAGATGACTCATAATGTATCTTGTGATTTATTATTTATTAGAATACTGTCATAAAAAAATGTTATACCATCAGAATTTATGTACATAAAAATGATGTGGTAATATTAATTTTATAAGTAAATGCATTTTTAAGACCTCTCTTATATGTTTTTTTATATAATTTGTCTCTATACAATCCCATTAAAATATTGATTAACAAGACCATCAAGCTATTTATTTCCTTGATAGGAAGACCTTTCAACCAATTTCACTTAATTTTTTAGGCCTTGTTTGGCATTTTTTTTTTTTTTTTGTGCGGCTAAATTAACCAATAAAAACGAAACATGTTCAAATAGCTAATAAAACTAAATGTTACATCCAAATTATAATTATTTCATTTTCTCTCTCACAATTATCAAATCAACTAAAAAAAAAACTAAAAATTATTCTAAATATAACTTTTTTAACCAAATTAAAATAATCAAAAAATTAGGCCAAATAAAGACTAATTTTTTTAAGGAATGAGCTTCTCTTCTGGACCGTGCTATTGGACTCGTGGAGCTTACCATGGATCTCATGATCCAAATCGTTTAATATGTAGAGTTTGTCGAGTATTTCATTCTTGTAAAAGATCACGTTGGTTGAATATCGATAGCCCTTTGATCATATTACATTTTTGTCAATAATAAATATGATTTTAAAAATAAATTGTTAATAAAATATGTTCTAATCAAGAGTTATCAATATCTAATCAATTTAATTTTTTACAAGAATTGAATACTCAATAAACTTTACATATTAACGATTCAAATTATCAAAATAAAATCTATAATAAACCTCGCAAATCCAATAATGCAATCCAATCCACAAAATATACGGGAGAAAACCCTTTCCTTTTTTTAATCTCTTAAAATCTTTTATATAGAAAATGTGAAAGAAATATGTGCCCCTTTTTTAATCCCAAATGCAACCCCCTTCTCTCCTCTCTCTTCTCTCTTTTACCAAACCCCCTCCCTTCCTCCAAATTACTTCACTCCCAAGTCCCATCCTTTCCCATCTCTCTCCCCTATTTGATCCCTACACTCCCACCACCACTCAAGAGAGAGAAAGCAAAAGAGTAAAGAGAGAGAATGAAAGTTGTAGAGAGAGAAGTAAAGTAAACTCCCAACTCCCATCCACTCCCCACCACAACACAATACAACACATTTCATTTCTCAACAGACAAGTTGTCTCCTTTCTTTCACAGAGCGCCATGGATTCTCAGATCTATGGCCTCCCCAAGCTCCTCCTCCTCTCAATGCTCCTCCTCACTTGTTCCGCATTGCCTCAGACTCGCCGTACCACTCCAAAACACTCTTCTTCATCTTCCTCTTCTCCATCCAACTCAGTCCCAATCAACTCAAATTCAGTCCTCGTCGCCCTCCTCGACTCCCATTACACCGAGCTCGCCGAGCTTGTTGAGAAAGCCCTCCTCTTACAAACCCTCGAAGCCACAGTAAACAACCACAACATCACCATCTTCGCACCCAAAAACGAAGCTCTTGAGCGCGACCTCGACCCCGAGTTCAAACGATTCCTCCTCGAACCCGGCAATCTCAAGTCCCTCCAAACCCTCCTTCTCTTCCACGTCATCCCAACTCGTATTGCCTCTCACGACTTACCCAAATCACTCACTGAGTCGACTCGCCACAAGACTCTCTCCACCGACCATCTCAATCTCGGAACCAAAGACTCCGGCGAGATTCTCGTCGATCTAGCCAAGATCATCCGCCCAGACGACGTCGTTCGCACCGACGGCGTCATCCACGGGATCGAACGCCTGTTAGTGCCCAGATCTGTACAAGAAGATTTCAACCGAAGAAGGAATCTCCGGTCGATCTCTGCGATTCTACCGGAGGGAGCACCGGAGGTGGACCCCAGAACCCACCGGTTGAAGAAACCGGCCAGTCCGGTTCCCGCCGGAGCTCCTCCGGTGCTACCCATTTACGACGCGATGGCTCCGGGGCCGTCTCTGGCTCCGGCTCCGGCGCCGGGACCCGGAGGACCTCACGGGCACTTCGACGGCGAGAGCCAAGTCAAGGATTTCATTCAGACTCTTCTGCATTACGGTGGGTACAATGAATTGGCTGATATTTTGGTGAATTTAACTTCGCTTGCGACTGAGATGGGTCGGCTAGTATCAGAAGGGTATGTATTGACTGTTCTAGCTCCCAATGATGAAGCCATGGCTAAGCTGACTACTGATCAGCTGAGTGAGCCGGGTGCGCCGGAGCAAATTGTGTATTATCATCTTATACCGGAGTATCAGACGGAGGAGAGTATGTACAATGCGGTTCGGCGGTTCGGGAAGGTCCGGTACGATACGCTGCGATTGCCGATGAAAGTTATGGCGGAGGAGGCTGATGGGTCGGTGAAATTTGGGCAGGGTGATGGGTCTGCGTATTTGTTTGATCCGGATATTTATACAGATGGGAGGATTTCGGTGCAGGGGATTGATGGGGTTTTGTTTCCGCCCGAGGAGTCGACACCGGCGACGAAAGTTGCTCCGGTGGCTAAGGAAGTCGCGAAGCCTCGCAGAGGTACAATTCTTTCATCACCATTTTAGTCTTATCGTGGTTGTTGTTTCTATTGTATTCTTATTAGCTGATGCATTAACACACAATTAGTGCATACACAAGACAATAATTGATGTTGTATTTGTTGATTTTGGATTGGTAGTTCCAATTCCATAGTAAAAGGTATATTCCGGTGTAATGGTGTTGTTAAGTGATAGTGATATGGTGGTGGTGGTGGTCGGGGTAGTGGGGCAGATGGAATCATTGCTTGACACGTTTTGTTGCCCTTATTCTTGTAGCTTTACCGATCAATTTGTTGAGTAGAGGTCATAAGCCATCTAATCTTGATACAGTGAGCCTCGGTGGTCTCTTCAAACCTTATCAATTTTGTTTTATGACTTGTTATTTGGGTACTTTTTACCACATGGATTTACATCCAAAAAATTTTTTTAAAAAAAGAAGCTAAATGTTACCCAATTTTTATCACCATTTTATGTTACTGCCTAAATCCAGAAGTTGTGAGTCGGTGGAATAACAAGGTGATGAAAAATTGATAAGAGTCATGGTGATTTGGGGTTTGTGGATAAGTTTGTAGAGCCCAATTTCTATTGGCTTAATGTGGGGGAAGATGGAGACTTTGGTAGCTAAATAGTTCGCTTAAGTTTTATTAACAAATAATCAACTTAGTTGACTGCCGTATCACTTGGTTTAATCTACTTTAGAACAGTAGTTTTTAGGATTGAAAAATGGAAGGTTGAAAAGGGTAAGGTTTTTGTCGGTGGGGTCATGAGAAAGCTTAGCTCTCGTTGCATCTGATACAAGAACCGAATATGTGGTCGGACTTTTGGCCTTGGGGAGGCTAATTGTGACTGCTAGGTCATAACTTGCGAGAGGGGTCCAAAGTTTGTTTTCATGATTGAATTTAATGGGATCTGGAATTGACATGTCCAGCCTAGCACAGCATTGATTAACAACCAATTTTCTAACCCCTAATTTTAGCATTGATAACAGCCTGTGTTTGACCTGTTTGGCCACGCGTTCATTCTAATACTGTGTTCCAAACACTTCCATGATCAGCTCACATGAAATGCCATGCCTTTGCTGCCATATCTTTTAATAGACTTGAACTTGTATTTCTGATCTGTTGTTGCATCTACCTGATTGTGGCCTTTTTAGATATTATAATGGCATTGATGATGATGTGTATCTAAAGTAAAGGCATGGCATTGAAACTGTGTCATTGACATCCTAGGGATTTCAAGCACTTCAAGTTATCTCTTTTTTCTTTTCTTTTCTTTTTCTTCTTTTTTTTCAAAAAATAATTAAAACCTGTGATCATGAACTGACTCGCATCGCATCGTGCACAACAGGGAAGTTGATGGAAGTAGCTTGCAATATGTTGGGGGCTTTTGGGCAGGGTTCCCATTTCACAAGCTGTCAATGAACTCTTTCACTTTTTGGGGGAGAAGAAGCAAAACCCTAAAGAAAGAAAAATGAAAACACAAAAAGGTATGCATATATATATATATCTATATCAGCATTATTGTTCATAATCTCTACTTATAATTTCAGTTTTAAGCATGTTAATTCTTTACTAATTGTAATGCTTTTTTTGTTTTGACAGTTGTAGGATGATGAGTGACTTGTCTATTCCACTGCCCAGTGCCCAACTAGATAAAGGGAGGGGGTGCTTGCATTTAAGTATTTCCTCATAAAAACCCACAGAAGAGAAGCTTTCTTTCTTTTTCTTTTCTTATTTTGTTACAAGTACTGTAATTACATATCATTTTTTTTTCTTGTATGTATTTGTTTGGCCGACACTGTATGCACAAATGAATGATGTTTGAAGAATAATAATAAGTCCCTCTTTAATCACAAGTGGTGTGCTTTCCTTTTTTGCCATTTTTTTTTTTTTGCATAAAAAACTTGTGATATATATATATATATATAATTCTTCTATTCTTTTATGTTTGTTATATTAATGTGTGATTAAAACTCTCTAACCTTCATTTGGTTAAGTGGTTATTGTCAAGGAAAAAGACATTAGAGCTTTAGTGGTTGTTTGATAATTAACTCCTTTTTTGTTTTTGTTTTTGTTTTTGTTATTTGTGTGTGATTAAGACAGCATAGTAGGTGGTATTTCAAGGTGGGTGCTGAGTATTTTTCTCTAAAGTGGTGGATTGTATATAATTGTCAATTATTGTTGTGTGGGAAAAAGAAAATCCTTTTTGTAGTTGTTTATCTTTAAAGAAATTTGGCTTTACATATTTCTATTAAATTAAAGTTGAAATCAATGTGATCCAAATTTACTTATTTAAATTGGGTGTATAGAAAAATTGATATATAATCTAAATTCATTAAGGGTGTCAAATTGGGCTTTTATTATTTTTATACACACTTCTGATTCTTTTTTATATCCAACATTGTTTTGTTAGTCAATTACAGAAGAAGAGATAATCTACTAATAGAGATGGGTAATAAAAAGATTCTGGTCGATTTTAATTTGTGTTTTTAATTTTATTTTTTTGCAGTACTCTTTTGCATGATCTTGTTATTAATTTAATTGATGATTAATCACATCACCAGCAGAGACTGAGCTGGCTGGCAATGGTGTGGTCCAATTTGACTTTATTAATTTATTATTGCTTGATAAAAAAAAAAGAGCCTACCCTAGACATTTGAGAAGACACAATTATGCTTTTGGTTGGAGAATTTGGAGAGAAATTTGGAAAGGAAAATGAAAAAGATAGGTGAAATGTGAATAAATCATACTTATATTTCACATAATTTCACATATATTTTCTCTTTTCCTTTCCCTTTCAAATCTCTCACCAAATCTCCTAACTAAACATAGCACTAGAAGACATAGAGCATCACATTCCCATATGTACATGTATGTGTTTGTATAACAAAACATATATGTGAAATGGAATCAAATGAAGGTTTGCTTGGAAACAAAACAATCAAAGTTGAAAACACATTTGTATGCATTCCATTTATTTACTTTGTGTGTGAAATTAGTTTTGAAAATTTGGAAAGTGTCTTAAAAGCGTTTCCTGAGAAAGGGTATTTTCTAAAAATAATTTTCAAACAAGTTTTTTGAACAAAATTTTCATATTTGATTAAATTGTTTTTGAAAAACGCTCTTTGATTCTTGGAAATAATGAAGAAAAATGAAAGGCAAAAAAAGGAGAGTGAGAGAGAAGAATACTTAAGCAAAATAGCAAAATAAAATAAAAGAAAAAAGAAAGAAGTCAATAATAAAAATTCTAATACGCGCATTGGATAATTGAAAAAGAAAAAAAGCGAACAAAAGAAAGTCAATAATAAAAAATTCTGATATGCTTTTATTAGGACATTATTTTATATTTTATGACTACTTCAAAAGAAGGGAAAAAAAAAGTTTTCTCCAAATCAACACAAAAATTTCTTCTTTTATTTTTCCCTTCATTTCCTCCCCATAGTTTTCCAAAGCAACCGAACAAGACCAAATACATTTTCTTCTTTATTTTTCTCTCTTACAATTTCCAAAGGAAATAAGACTGATACATTGGAAAAAGATATTAAAAATCCCTCCAACATCAACCTCTGCAAGAGGTTTGATTCACTCGAAATGTTACAAGTAGGAAAGTAAGAGTCTCCTTGATTACAAGTTTAAACCATGGTATATTTGAAGTAGCTCACCTTGATTCATATGAAAATTAGTGACACATCCTTGAGCACAAGTCCATATGGGTTATAACCCTAAAGAGTGTTTGGTAATGAGATTCCTGTATTTTTAAATTTTAAGAGTGTAAGTCTTTTTCTTTTAGTCTTATTTTCCCTTGTGTGTTGGTGGCAGCGGTGGTGATAAGGATGGATATGGTGATTTATTTCATATCAAGGAGCATAGCTCTCAACGAGGGCACCGCGATCTTGACTAAACTCCTTGAAATTGTCCTCCATTAATTCTACAACTTCGTTGGCAAAGGCTAATGAGACTAACGACCAAGGATAGCAAGGTTCAACAAATATACAACATCAACATCTTTTCTTCAATCTTTTGTTTTGTGTTTTTTTTCCTTGCAGTTGTTGATGAAAGATAACTTGAGAATCTAAGGGTAGTATGCAAAGGTAAAAAAAAAAAACTTACGTAAGATTTCTTGGTTATTGTCTAACATCTATGTTCTCTAAGAAAATAAACACATGTAACAAGAAGAGAAATTTCTTTGTTTTAAGACAAATTTTTAATTTTACCATTTTAGATCCTTTAAGGAAACAAAACCAAGGTTCAAACTATCTCTTAGGTCTCCATTGATTTATATCAATTAGAGGGAGAAAGAAGGGTGTACAGATGATGCGGACCTCTAAATGTGATCATTGTCCCCCACTATTATCATTGTTGATGTGGTCATCGTCCCTTGCCAATAGGGGTGAGTAGTGGATATTTTGATCCGTTCAAATCGACTGAACCAATTCGATTCGCCGTATTTTGGACGGATACGTGATGACGAGCGGACGGTTGTAAATTGATTTTTTTTTAATCCACCTAGTTTTGGACGGATGACGGATTTGAGGTACTTTTGGCTGCAACCGAATCGCCAAATCGTGAGCACCCCTAGTAATTTATAAGACTTTATGTTTTCAATTTGCTTAGATATTCTATTTGTGTTTGTAATTGAAAAAGAGTTTAGATGTTCTATTATGTTTTCAATTTATTTTTAATTTGAAAATTCTTTTATCAAATGACAATGGTTGATATTTGATATTTTTGTGTAAAAAATATAAGGCTTAATTTTTTCATTTTAAAAAAAAAAATCAAATTAAATAGTTTTTGAATAAAAAAAAGTAATGAAATAGTTTTGATAATGCATGGTTTTCTTATATGTATTTATTATTAGTATTTGACGATTTACTTGATAATCTTTTAGTTATGTTGAGTTGGATTGTTTTCCAAAAAAAATGTTGACAAGTTGTTGTACTATGTTCAAAATTTGTAAATGTTTAAACTGTCAAACCGATTCGCATCTATCTGTCAATCCACTTAATCCGCATCTGTCAATTCAGTGGACAGATGCAGATTGATTTTTTTCAATTCGCCCATCCGACGAACGGATAACCGATTAGAGATTTTTCGGCCACAACCGAACCGCAAACACCTCTACTTGCCAATGTCACCATTGATCTTCTTGTGGCAATCTTTGGAGACTATACTAAATCTTAGTTTTCATAATACATGCAACAAATGAAATGAGAGTTTGTTTGTGTATTTCCTATTTCTCTCCCTCAAAAGATTTTTTCCAAACGCTATTTTGCAGTAAAACTAGAGTACAATTTTATTGTACTAAAACTTGTTAATCTAATCAATGAAATTGAATTTCTGAAAGCTTTTCCATATGCATGTTAGACATATATTTAGGTACATCAAACATTTATTATAATTTTTGGAGCAAATTAAATTTTCATATAAAATTTTGGTCTTGTTTATTTAGTTTTTATATTTAAAATCATACGAATTTGATATGAAAAAATAAAACTATTATAATCATTATGGTAGTTAGTGATAGTAACGGAGCTTTTTTAAATTTGAACATAAAAAGAGTGCTGCTATTAATACTTGTCTAAATTCTTTGAACTCTCAATTTTTAATTTTTCTTTTATTATAATTATGCCCTGAAATAAAATTACATTAAAAGACATCATTTAATGAAACACTCACCTTCCAAATAATAACTAACACTATACAATATTGGACACCCATCCCCACCCTCACCTCTACCTCCAGCTATACCTATTCCACCTTTCTAAATCCTAAACTTGTTACTCTTCATAACCAACCAACATAAATCTTAAACCTATTACTTTTCATAATCATCTTAAACCCTCATGAACCCTCATGAACCAGAAACTTTGAACTAGAAAACTCTTTTCAAATCCAACGTATTGCTCTTTATCAGTTATTTCACCTTGTAGAGCAATGGAGGAAGATAGACAACAATTTTGATAAGGCTGGCGTTCTATTGATAAGTTTATCTGTCTTGCATTAAAATTCTCGATCGTTTTCAATTGATGTTGTTATGTTCGAACTGTTCAGTATTGGTTTGCCAACTGTTAAAATTATGTTTGGTAACATAGTATTGAACACAAACATTTAATTCAATATATATAGTAATGCAGATAGTTGGTACTGTTGAACCGAACATGACCCTTATTTTCGGTACTAGTGTGTTGAACGGTTCGTTTTTTGTATCTTTAACAATAAATTATTTTTATCGTAAGGGTTTTTTTCCTCTAAAACCCCATTTTATGCCAAAATAAACCAAAAAATAAAAATGTGATAGGAGAGGCATTGTTGTTGATAAGATAGGGAGTCGATATTTACCTGCGAGGAATTTTCGACGAGTTTTCCGGCAGTATTCTTTAGATACTGTTTAGTCGATTCCTCCTTTCATTGAGAGTCGATAGGAATTTCAATGATGGACCGTTGATGCAATGCTCTTCACTGAGGCAATGGTGTTTACTAATGCAATGACTGTCGGCATTCTTTTCTACAGAAGATAGGGTGTGCAAAATTAGGTGGGTGTGCCTTGGGTGTGATAATTTTATGAAGAGGGGTAAATTTGGTATTAAGTACGGTGTTCAAAGAAATTTTATTAAAATTTAGGGTTTAGAGTGGGAGCTCAAAAAAATGGGAGGTCCAAAGAATTTAGACAGGTGTTAGTAGTAGCTCTCTCTCTCTCAAAAAAAAAAAAAAAAACATTCTACGAAGCTTTTTTATTTGTACTTAATCAAATGGAGTTGTATTTTTGAAAAATATCTCATACTCATGTTAGAAATATATTTAGGGACGTTCAAAATTAAGTTTATGTATTTTTTATACAAATTGAATTTTCTTGAAT